GGGTTTCAATTCCCCTGTTGTACGTGACAAGGAGTAGGGTCGCCTGTCCAACCTCATGGGTTTTCTCCGGGTCCTCTGGTTTCCTCCCACAGTTAAAGGCTAAAGACCCCTACGAGCAAGCGAGTTATTGAAATAAAATTGAACCATGTGTTAGTCCCTTAATGACCTAGTTTGTGTCAAGTGGAGGTTAAACCCCCTCTCTCTTATTAATCTGAAGGAATCGAAGGTAGGAGATAATCTACCACTAACGGATGACAGAAACTCCTGCTAAAACAACACAACAAAATGTACTCAAGCTGTAGTGTCAGTTATTTTTGGAAAAAAGACAATGATCAGTGTCTCGAAAATCTTTTATTAGCCTACTACATTAATGTACACTGACACTCTTAAGAAATAATCCTACGAATTCAATCTTTCATGACTATATCGGGCTAATAATGAGTGTCTTATGAAAGAAACAGGAGACACACAACCTTCAAGAATCCAATGTCAAAGAATAAACGGATAAATCTAAAAGTAAAATTTGTGCTTTTTAATATCTCATCTCATCTGGTAAGCAATTTGCGATATTATTCTGATCGAACATCGTTCGCCTATAATTATGTTTCTCTTCTTCCTATCTCGGGATCTGTCTTTTTTTCTAGAATACAAAGTCTTCATTAAACAATGATGCGATCTGACAGGCCATCATTAAAGGCAAGAGAGAGATAGAGAGAGAATTGGGTTTGACATCAACTCGACCCAAACTAGGTCATTTCCAAAGGCGAGAGAGAGAGAGGGAGACAGGGAGGGAGAGAGATGGGGTTCAACCTGGACTTGACCCAAACTAGGTCATTTCGGTTCAAGGCAATCATTAAAGGCAAGAGAGAGAGAGAGAAATGGGGTTTGACTTACTCCACCCAAATCGAGAGAGAGAGAGAAAGAGAGAGAGAGAAACTAGGTCATTTTGGTTCAATTTTATTTTAAGAATTTGCCTGCACGTTGGGGCCTTAAGCAGTGGGAGGCCCCAAATTTGATGGCCTTAAACATTTACAGGGTCATCCTGGTTAATTTGACCAGAGAGAGAGAGAAATGGGGTTTAACATCCACTCGAAACAAACCAGGTCATTTTTGGACTAACACATGGTTCAATTTTATTTCAATAATTTACTTGCGCATAGGGTCTTTAGCAGTGGGAGGAAACAAGAGGACCCAGAGAAAACCCACGAGGTTGGACTGGCGACCCTACTCCTCGTCACATACAACCAGGGAATCGAAACCACGCCAATTGACTCAATGACAGACTTGCACACTTGCTTACTATTTGCCTCCATCCCCCACCCCCAAGTGAGAGAGAAAAGAGTTTGAACCTCTACGCGACCCAAACTAGGTCATTTCAGTTTAATTTGATTTTAAGAATTTGCTTGTGCGTAGGGGTCTTAAGCATTGGAGGAAACCAGAGGACTCAAAGAAAACCCACTAGGTTGGACAGACTACCCTGTACTGGACATTCGAGACTAAGTCTTGATTAACCGTTTTATCATAAAATTTAATCCTTTTCAATCTCAGCCATCCGATTGTCTAGAGAGTTGATTATAAGCTTGTCATATGAATAAATGTCTAATTAATAATTTATATAACATTTGAAGCCAAAATAAAGACCTGCAATAGGAAGATTTAGCTCTTACGTATAATACATGTTTAATAAAACAATATTTATTACTCTCTTACATGCATTATTAAGTTAGCCATCAAAGTGGACGGATGTAAGCCTACAAGTACACGTATTATTATCTTTATTCTGTTTCGTTTTATCGACGTTGTCATGAATTTAGATCAACTTTATGCGAGAGAATAACCTATCAATATCCACCAAGAGAATGGATCACGATACAGCAAGCAGTGGTTAGGAGTTTTTGCAAATATAGAATTTATGTAACTGTCAGATATTGTCTGAATTATATAAAACAGAATACAGCACACAGTCCCCACTGAATAGCAGAACAGCAAAATAAAATGTTACAAGGTCGTAAGATGTCCTGCATGAAACTGCATCATAAAGCATTCTCAGACTTCAAAATTTACTCAAAATTGTTCGCTTGCCAACATTAGAAAGCAGGCGATTGAACACTGTCTGTATTAACCCAGAAACCTGGCCCTGGATCCAGAAAACATTTTCAGACTTAAGTTAAGAATTTACTCGAAATTGTTTGCCTTATCTGAACGAAAATATAGCCCTTTATAAAACTTTTGTTGTTTTAATGTATCAAATACATTAATAAGAAACTGTGTAAAGTTTTGTGTTTCTGGATAAGAAATCGGGGTCACAAGGTTTGTTCAACTACTTTAACATTCAGCACTCTGAGAAAAATCTACTTCAAGAATATATCTCTGCCCTAAATGACAGCCATATCCAAGGCTGACCTTAAAAATATCTTTGTTTCACCAAACCCGACCCACAATCGAGGAGAAGGGTCGGTAGGTCGGTTTTTTTTTTCAGATTTTTTTTTAAAGTCAGAGAAATCAATACAGAAAACTTATTAGCTGTATACTACAGATTCATTAATTTTGTTTAATGAATTTGGGGTCTGACGTAAAAAGTAACGAACTGAAAGTTTTTATTAAACTTAAGAGCTAATTTGACAGCTTAATAATTTTCCGGGTGGAAACATTCGTCTTCTTTATTGGCAAACAAATCAATGACATCGGGATTTTTCGTGATGCCCGACTCGCACACGATTTGTCACGAACTTGAAGTGTGAAACTCCTACAACTCGTTTTTAACGATAGTGCGGGTTGTGCCTTCATTTTTCTCGAAAACGGATATTGAAAATATCGTCGTCATGTTTAAAACTATGCACCGCAGACATAGAGGTAGAATCATTTCGTGGGAATGGATGTGTATTCGTCTGCAACCATTTTGTTGAGAAGCGACACCTATGACGCTTTCGTCTTGATCAACCAGTTTCAATAATGAATCAAACCATAGCCATAGTAAAGGGAAATAACTCTCATGATATATTTCAGGTTGACACACAAAATAAAATAAAAAGATCGTGGAAAAGTGCAATAAAATAATTTAAGTCGGGGGTGGTTTTAGTTAGTCGGTCGCGTTAGGCGAAACAAAGATATTTTTAAGGTCAGCCCAACTATTAGTGTACTGTTTTGTAATGTGGTCCTACTCAGGTTCACGTCTGTTATACACAAAAAGACTAATTCAACCTTTTTAATTATTCTATTAAATGAGTGCAGAATATGTACTTCTCAAAATTCTCGAAGTATAAACATCGTCGATTTAGGAAATAAACTTAAACAATTTATTCATTACTTATTGGTTCAGGATTGTAAATTAATGGGATTGGTCTGACGAATTTGGACGTTTGTGGAGCAAATACATTTTGATATGAGGGAAATTTTGCCTGGACAGTGGTGCTATGGCCTATTTTAGTATTATTAATGTCTACACGGAACCTCGTTTTTTTGTATCCATCTGAACGACTATATGTTGTCCCTTGCCAGGCTCTCTGTTCCACACCACTGACAAGGGGCAACATTCTCGGCCCGAACCGGGTCGAACATAGGACCTCGGGTTAGCAAGCCAACGTCTTACTCACATAGCCACCGTGGTTCCGTGCCCAAAGAGAACTAACTACATCGAGAATAGATCGCCGTGTCCTGAATAGCTGCCATATTGAATAATTAGAGTAGGATAGGTTAGTGCTAAATGATCAGGCCAGCTCAATTTTTCACCATAGGTCACGAGATGTAAACAGGGCTAGAGCTAATCCCAACCCTAACCCTGGACCTAGCCCCAATGCTCACTCTAACCCTAACCTACAAACTCGCCAACAATCACGTGCCCTAACCTTATTTACATCTCAACGATCTTGACAAAAATTGAGTACAAATAGATTTAGCCAGTAAGCTACTATTTTTTTTACGTGATTCTAATCCGTTTTATATTTTTTATACACACAAAGACCAATAATCATTTTCAATTTCATTACGTATGAAAATAACATCAAAATAAATTCCTGAAGTAAGTGTTTTCAACTAAAATAACGATGGAGGAATTAAAATGTTGGTCAATGTTTGGGGTTTCTGGCTACATTGTTAAATTCATTCTGCTCACAGAGAACTATCTATTGTACTTCGAGAATAGATCTCTGTCTTAAATGGCCGCCATATCCAATTATTAGTATACTGTTTTGTAATGTGGTCCTACTCAGGTTCACATCTGTTATACACAAAAAGACGAATTAAATCTGTTCAATTTTATTAAATGAAAGAAGAATATATACTTCTCAGAATTCTCGGAATATACTTAGTGTTTTTCGATTAAAATTGTCGATTTAGAACTTCAAATGTCGGTCAACTAGCTTAGTGTTTGTTTTGAAGTGGAGCTAATTGTAGATAGACAGCGAAAGTTTAGTATGCTATACCTCATTCTGCACATTATCCCCTCGTTTTAATATAAACATAGGTCAACATGTTAAACAGTGAGATATTGTTGTCTGATGATCAGTAGAAGATCCTGTCTGTGACTGGCATTGTATGGGTGGGGGGGGCTGTGGGAAGGGGCTGTGACTATCATTGTTTAGTGGGGAGGGTGTATGTTTGACAAGTGAGAGAGAGAGAAATGGGGTTTAACGTCCACTCGACACAACCTAGGTCATTTCGGGACTAACATATGGTTTAATTTTATTTCAATAATTTGCTTGCGCGTAGGGGTCTTTAGCAGTGGGAAGAAACCCCATGAGGCTGGACAGGCGACCCTACTCCTTGTCACGTACAACCAGGAATTCAAAACCATGCCAGTTGACTCAATGACAGTTCTTATGATACAGCACGCACATGCTAACAATTCGGTCATCCAACCCCCCGTTTGACAAGTAGAAGATCCTACCTGTGACTGTTATTGTATATGTGGGAGGGTGTTTGACTAGTAGAAGATCCTGCCTATGACTGTCAATGTATATATGTAGTAGAGGGGAGGGTATTTGACTAGTAGAAGTTCCTACCTGTGATTGTCGTAAACTTGGATCCAGTTTAACCAACTGTTTTTCCATCTGTAATCGTTCTTTAGCTGCTTGTTTAATAATATTAACCAATTCTTCTTTCTCTTCATACACCTCCACATTCTAAAAAAATACATTTAAATATCATAAATACTTCATTTATACACCTCAGCATTATAAAAAAATACATTTAAATATCATAAATCCTTCATTCATATACACCTCCACATTCATCAAAATATATTAAAATATCATAAATACTTCAATCATATACACCTCCACATAAAATAAAATGCAACTGTTCTTCTCTATTCAGGCCAATGAAATGTGCTTTAAGGGAAATTTTGCCAAGACAGCGGCGCCACAGCACACATGTATTTCGATTGGTTCTATTATGTGCATGCCAATATGTACACCCTCATCCAAAGGACAAGACACTGTTTTGAATTTTGAATTCCAACTGACAAGGGTTTCTTTACGTGCACACCAACGTGTACACAGGACCTCAGTTTTCATCCCATCCAAACAACTAGACACCATTTCCTGCCATCAATGGTTTATGAGATATATTTAAAAAACAAAAAAACAAACAAAATAAAACAGGGTAGAAGGAACTCATTTCAATATCCCTTCGCTTGCTGTAGGACCTGTTAAAGGTTTTTTTTTTACGTACATGCCAGTGTGTACATGTGTGCCTATCACTGGTTTATGAAATACATGTATGCTCCAGAAACTAAATCGGATGGTTGGCGCCTATTTCAATATCCCTTTGCTGCAGGATAACTGTTGAGGGTTCTTTAACGTACTGATACATGACAATGCGTACACGGGACCTTGCCCTATCAATGTTTTATGAAATAAACTCCAGAAACTAAATCGGATGGTTGGCGCCTATTTCAATATCCCTTTGCTGCAGGATAACTGTTGAGGGTTCTTTAACGTACTGATACATGACAATGCGTACACGGGACCTTGCCCTATCAATGTTTTATGAAATAAACTCCAGAAATTAAACCGGAAGGTTGGTGCCCATTTCAATATCCCTTCCCTGTGCTTGCTGCAGAGTAACTGTTGAGGGTTCTTTAACGTACCGGTACATGGCAATGTGTGCATGCGACCTCACACTATCAATGTTTTATGAAATATACTCCAGAAATTAAAATCGGATAACCTGATGTGTGCTAAATTCTCCATTACTAACCTGGGGTGTGCTAAATTCTCCATTACTAACCTGAGGTGTGCTAAATTCTCCATTACTAACCTGGGGTGTGCTAAATTCTCCATTACTAACCTGGGGTGTGCTAAATTCTCCATTACTAACCTGGGGTGTGCTAAATTCTCCATTACTAACCTGAGGTGTGCTAAATTCTCCATTACTGATATGATCGGCCAGCTCGTGACATTTTCTACGTAAATCTTCCAACTCCCTGTCTTTAGATAACATATTCTTCGCATGGTCGGCCAGATCTTTGGCTCGTTGTCGAGCAAATAATTTCTTAAGTTGATCTGAATCTTTGCCTCCATCTTCTTTTGATTTCTGAAAGATCAATTATGGTACTACATTCTCCATATTCACACCTGGAAATTTCGTAATTGTCAGGAATTTGTCAGATATTTTGAGGGTTTAACATCCACGATACAAACTATGGTTCAATTTTATTTCAATAATTCGTTTGCGCGTAGGGGTTTTTAACAGTGGGAGAAAACCCACGAGGTTGGACAGGCGACCCTACTCTTTGTCACGTACAACTTGGGAATCGAAACCACACCAGATGACTCAAAGACAGATCTTATGATACAATGCGCCTACGCTAACAATTCAGCCATCAACTCCAACTTTTCTGCATCAACCAGGCTGATACAGTGTGCTATGGGGAATTTTGCTTCATTTACTCTTTTTAAAAATTTATTTATTTGATATTTTGATTTTTTTCTAAATCAAATGTTAACTAATTAATCTGACTATATTCAGGGGCGGATCCAGGATTTTCAGAAAGGGGGGGCATGCTGCCCCCACTTGGGATTGCGAAGCCCAGCGCTCGGTGGGCCTACTGACGGGCAATCAACCAAGTCACCAACTGGCTCATTTCGGAGTAAATTACGACAGGGATCACTACCATTCTTAAGTATTTTTGTTCTCCTTTCCCGCGTGAATATATGATGCAAAAAATTGTTTGACACCGCAAAAAATAGGGAGGGGGGGCGCCGGGTGAGCCCCCCCCCTCCCCCTGGATCCGCACCTGATATTTCACCATAGAAAGTTTTATATCTTCCGAAAAATGGAATTAATGCACAAAGACTTAAAATGTTGATCTTTTCTACTGAATTACAGAAACTCTTCTAATAACAGGAATATGTACAAATCAATAATATTGGTTTTATGGTAGAGAAACATACTCATTAACTTGCACCATCATGGAGTCATGAGGGAAAGATGGAAGAGTTATTTCCCTTAATTGAAGACCACATTATCACAGTAGATTGCAAATCTGGTACTAGAGAGAAATAGGGTTTAATGTCAACTTGACACAAAACTAGGTCATTTTGACACTAACATATGGTACAATTTTATTTCAATCATTGGCCTAAGGGGCTTTAGCAGTGGGAGGAAACCAGAGGATCCATGGGAAACCCACGAGGTTAATAGGTAGATGACACTCACTACTCCTTGTCATGTGGAAGATTGGGATGAAAACCATGACACTTGACGTTATGTTCTAAAGCCGTGATTCTCATCCAGTGTGCCGCAAGATCTTCCAAAGTGTGCTGCAGAATTTTGAACTAAGAAACGGCCAAAATCATGTGATCCTAATTGAGTATTCACAGGTGTCTACTGGTAAGTTCATAGCTGTGGTTTTTTTTTATTTAGTTTGAGTCATTCTATGACTATTCTCTGTCTACGGTTGTATTCCGTCGACTTACCATGTTTTTATTTAGCAAAGTTAAAATATTTTTCATATATATTTAACCAGGTGTGCTGCTATTTTTTCATGTATTCCAAGGTGTGCCTTGTCCGCAAGACTCAAATGGCTCGATATGTAAATTTATCAAGTTATTTTGGCCCCGCGACATTTTATTTTATTGTACCAACAAGACACTGACCTTTAAGTTTTCTTGCTGTAAATGTTTCGCTTTTTCTTCTAATCTACGAGCTATGGCTGCCAACTCTGCATTTCTTTTCTTTAAAGCTTTAACCTTTTCTTCCAGTGGTTTTTGGTCGTCCTGCCTTTGTTTCTGAAATTCAAAATGACAGATTAAGTATTGGACAAAAAGAGAATGGTCTTTATGGGCCGGTCACACAGGCTTCCGCGAGTTGATCACGTGTAATTTTGCTATAAATTTTGCAAATTTTTTCTACACGCGGTGAAAATCAACCAATTTGTCTCAGACATGCTGGACACGCGAATGACAAGTGGACCACACGCGCGCGTGTGCATCGCGTGTCCACCACGAGTCCTCCGTGTGTGAGCGCTTGTGGTCAGAAAATGGGGTCACACGCAGCGCGTGTGTATCACTTGTGCTCCACATGTGCTCCGCGTGTGAATCACGTGCCGATCACTTGTGCTCCGCTTGCCGCCCGCGTGTATAAAAGCCGCCGCGTCCGGTGTTCTGGATCAGTATCGATCAATATTCCGTAGAGTAAAGATCAAAATCATGGCACCGAAATCAAAGAAGGGCAACTCCACGCCCAAGAAGATGAAGAGGCAAGCAAGGCCCAGGCCGAAGGCAAAAGTCTCGGAGCCTGAAACTGCTACCGAGGAGGTGGAGAGCAGCACCCCCGAGCCCCCCCAGGGCAGCAAGAACAGGCAGTCCAAGAAGATGGGCATAAAGGTGACGGCTCGTGTACATGCTGCTGCTGCCGCTGCTGGTGTCCCTGGTTCCAATGGCAGTGGAGAAGAGGACGAGCTTCTTCCTGATGGTAAGTACAATTTATGTAACATGTTTTTGATTTTTTATTTGGAAATACTCGTTACTAGTATAACGTGACGTGTTCAAAATTTATTTTATTTAAATATTCGTTTACGTGGCTGTCAGAAAGTATTCAAATTTATTTATTTCAATTTTATTTATGCTGAAGTGTTCATTTGATATGTATGTTTTTCAACATTCCTTACTATTTATTAAAAATACCTTTATTTTCTCTTTTCATTTTGTACAACAGTTGCAAACACTCCAGTCAGCACGAGTGGTCCTTCTAAGAGCACTGCCACTATGCCCGTCGCCACTCAGGCTGAGCCACAGCTTGTGCCACTGGAGAACCCTGCCTCACCTTCGTCACCTGCGTCACATGACCCCACACCCGAAGTTCTGGTGCGAGAGGAGCCTGTGGAGGAGCAGAAAGAGGCTGATGGTCATGCCAAGGGCAAGGGCAAGAAGCCGAGAAAGCCAAGAGGTCCCAAGAAGGAGTGGAAGTTGCCACCTGACACAGAACAGGATCTGGTTGAGTGGATGCGAGACAGAAGTTACTTGTGGATGCGCAGTCAACGTGACTACAAGAAAAAGACAGAAGCCTGGGAAGCTAAAGCAAAAGAAATTGGTATCTCGACTGACTACCTCGGGCACTGGTGGAAGAACTTGAAGGACTGGTACGTCAGGCTGATCAAGGTTGCCAGTGGCCAGGAGCGCAAGCTTCTCACCGACAGGGACAAGTGGGTGCTGAATAATATTTCCTTCTACAAAGGTCAGTACATATGTTGATAATTATTTCAAACATTTCCATTTTTCAAAAGCATTTTTGTACATTTAATTTTAAAATTTAAAACATAATAATTACTACGATTTAGTGTAATGATTATTCAGAAATTCACTTGTCCCTAATAACAGTCCTTTAATATTGTTCAGAAAAATTTGAATGCAAAACACTTAACAAACGTTTACCTTCTTTCAGCTGCCATACCTGATGAAGAATCTGACACTGTCATGCAGATCCGACGTACTGCTGCTGCTGGCTCTACTACTGGTTCTGCCGCTGGTTCTGCCTCCACGTCCACAGCAAGACCCCCTCTGCTATCCTTGGATGACCCAGCTGAGACGGAGAGACAGTCAGGCAATGTGCTCGAAGACCTCGAGAGGGAGGCAGCAGAGCTCGGATCAGTCAACTCTAGTTTCCAGCACAGGAAGAGGAGGAGGAAGGAGGACGAGGCGGAGAGCTGGATGCCCGAACTTCGTAAAAATCTTCAGACCAACCAAACACTCCTTGCAAAGCTGATGGAAAAAATGCTCGAGGACAAGGAGAGGGAGAAGAGCCAGCGTGAACCCTTCATAAGCTATGTCACCCAGACTCTCAGGTCTTGCAGTCTTCAAGACTTCAACAATGTCAAAGAGCTCATATCGGATATACTGAAACAGATAAAGGCTCAATCTGAAAGACCCTCAGCTTCCACTTCGGCTCCTCCAACTTGCACAGCCGCCTCCTTTGGGCAGTATCATCAGTACCATCAACAGTACCCTCAGCATCAGCAGTACTTCCAGACACAGCCCAACTATTATGCCTGGCAGCATGGTGTAGGGGGAGGAGGGGGAGGATACCAACAGCAGCAGCAGTACCCTGGGCAGCAAGAGCTTCAACAACCCAACCTCAGTACTCCTCGTCAACACACAGCATCTTCAGAATCGATGTCCAGAGCACAGAGCACTGCCCTAGGTGGGGATTGGTCGTTCAACATGGAGCAGAGCAACTTCGGCCGTGTTTCACAAGACAGTATGAACACCCCACCATTCTCGACAGTGTCACCAGCAACTCACCGACCTCCCATTCTGGCATCTGCAGCTTTGGGTGCACCACCATCCTTGTCAACACCACCAGCCGTGGAACCAACAGCAGTTGAGAGTGACACTCAGTCTGTAGCTACTCAGGGAACTCGTGACAGTTACAGTGAGGATGAGGATGCATGAAGGTTTCATGTTACACTGACAGTTGTATTTTGTTGTGTTGGGATGTGGTGCATGGTGCTACAGTGACATTCCTTGAACTGATGTATTTTGTATTTTGTTTTTGCCATAGCATGGATTGCTAGCAGTGACTTTCTTTTATTTCACTTGTTATACACGTGATACGTGATAATAAAATTGTTGAACTGTTACTAATTGTTTTTCGTGAATAAATTGAACTTTGAGAAATGGTTTAAGAAATGAAATTAAAATTTGTCGAGTTTACGGCGTGATGAACGTCGGGGAAAAGTGCACTTATTTGTATAACGCACGCCGTAAACTCGACAAATTTAATTTCATTTCTTGTAATTACAACTCAACAAATTTCATTTGATTTTATCGATTTATAGCGAACAAAACTAGTAAAATTACTCCGTAGAAAAGTAGTCCGTTTGCAAAACCTTGTTCATCGCCCAATGAACTTGGATTGTATGTTGCATCTCAGTCAATCAGAAAATAGTATTTGCACCATGTGACTTAGAAGTTGTAATTATAATAAAATGAAAGTGGGAGAATATTGCAACAAAAATGTATTTCAAATGTCAAAAATAAAAGTTGAATAAATACTTTATGTAACTTCTTTTCTTTGTCATTTCAAATATTTTTATTCCAATAATCTTTCATTTTTATTTTATAACCATATTATTGAATGGCAACAAATGTAACAATACATTGAAAATAATAAATTTTAAAATTATTGCAATAAAATAAAATTACATCTCAAATGAAAAGAAATAAAAGTGAGTTTAGGACTAAAGGTCCTAAGCTTACTTTTATTTTTTTCAAATTTGAAATGTACTTTATTTTATTGCAGGATTTTTTTCATTTATTTTATTATATAATAGTTTTATCAAAGTTTTATTGCCACAAATGCTGCCCCCCCCCCAAACACATACTGCCACAATGCCCCCAAACACTATCATTTGTCCACACTGTCACTTCCACAAGAACTAGTCAAGGAGCATGTTGTCTTGCCATGCAACACTCCCAGCAGGGGATGAACACCATTCCATTATGAGATTCCTCTGAGCCTTGGCCAATTTGTAGTCTCTGTTGGTTCCTGGTAGGTTCTCAGGTCTTGTGTCATCCAGATTCTTTCCTCGACGCCATTCACCAGGCACCAGGGCTCCATCAGGGCGTTCAATGTCAACAAGTCTGTTTTGCATGACAGGATACCTCGTGCGCATCAGGTTGTGGAGGACCACACATGCCTTGACAATGAGCCTAACCGTGTCTGGTTGGTGCATCATTGTTGTTAGTAACACCTGGAATCTGTTGGCAAGAATGCCAAAGGCATTTTCCACCACCCGTCTTGCTCTTGACAATCTGTAGTTGAAGATTCTTTGTTTTCTTGATAGCTGTCTGTTCCCAAAGGGCTTCATCATAAAGCTTCTCAATCCAAATGCATCGTCACCCACCAGGAAGTAAGGTAGATCTTCTGTGTCCCCTGGGAGGGGAGTAGGCTGAGGGAATCCAAGAATGTCACCGTTCTGTAAGCCTTCTTTAAACTCACTGGCATTGTAGATATGCGCGTCTGATGAGGCCCCCTTGCCACTCACGTCCACCCATAAGAACTTGTAATCACTGGTCACCACAGCCAAGAGAATAATGCTGAAAAAACCCTTGTAATTGTAGAATTCAGAGCCAGAGTTGGGAGGGGCCTTGCATGCTATGTGTTTGCCGTCTATAGCTCCAATCACGTGAGGGAAATTCCACCTGTTCAGCCAATCGTCTGTAATTTGTTGCCACTGTTCGGGGGTTTCTGGAGGTGACAGCATCTCCTCACGATATACATGCACGATTGCCTCACAAACTTCACGAACAATGAGGCTTATGGTGTTGTGTGGGACACGCCAGCCATACTGCATCTCCCTGTATTTCGAGCCTGATGCAAGGTGCCTCAAGGTGATGGCCACCTTTAAGCCTGGGTCCAAGGGAGCTCGCCAATTGGTTGTCTCCTTCGTCAGTGTTGGTGTCAGCCTTTCCACCAGTTCATCATACATCACCGGAGGCATTCTCATAAAGTTCTTGAAGGCACGGGGGTCCTCGTTCCTCAGCTCCACCATCAGCCTGTCATACAGCCCCAGCTGTGGCCTGCGGTTGATCCATTGGCGCACCCATATGGCTCTGACTCTTCTTTGTCTTCTCCTCACTCTTCTTCTGACATCCAGGGCTTGCTGAACCTGAAGTAGCTGGTTCTGATGTTGCTGGAACAGCATAACCAAAGCATTACGATGCGCCGGATCCATGTTGCCTCTTCAACGTCTTGATCACAACTGATGAAAAATGGCCCACACGCGATCTTTTTATAGCAGAAATAACTAGTGGTACAAACGAGATTGGGTCGTGGACGACACGCGAATCAGTCGTGGTTCAATCGCGATTCAACGCGAAAACACGCGAATGGCCCGCGGATGACTCGTGACACAATCCCTGAGGAAGCCTTTTACACGTGGAGCACACGCTATCACAGGTGGTAGGAACGCTGTAGACACGCGGATCACAAGTGGATGACAAGTGCTACACACGCAGTCACACGAAGAAATTTTGCGTTTGCCCGCGAGTGACCACTTGTCGTCCACTTGTGATCCGCGAGTGTACCACGTGTTATCGCGTTTGGCCCGCGTTTGTACAGCGTTTACACCACGTGTGCGACACGCGGTGGCCGTTGCGCCTAATTTTTGTGCTGCTCAAAAATAAAATCGGACTCCGTGCGCGTGTAAAATTTTTCGCGCGTGTGCGCACTTGTTATTCGCGAGTCCACCACGTTTCATTCACGTGTCATTCACTTGTGACCGCGCTTACTTCGCGTTTGACAGTTCTTCCTCGCGATACACTCGTGATCAACTCGCGGAAGCCTGTGTGACCGGCCCTTTAAGAATTGTCTCATCATCATAATTCATCTACTTTGAAATGAATCTGATTAAAATACAGATTTATATTTCGTTTTGTTTTTTAAAACTTTCGATGGCCTCTACTACATGAAGATCTGACTGGTTGTAGTGGAAGGTTGAGTCAGAGGTCAAATGACCAACTTTGGACCCTATGATGTCAGACATTTGATTAACATAATTCATTTTACTAGAATAAGTCTGAGTATTTTGATTTGGTTGAATGTTTCTCAATCTGATTAAAATACAGATCTATATTTCGTTTTGGTTTTTTTAATGAGAGAGAAATGGGGTTTAACGTCCACTTGACACAAACTAGGTCATTGCGGGACTAATATATGTCTTAATTTTATTTTAATAATTCGCTTGTACGTGACAAGGAGAAGGGTCGCCTGTCCAACCTTGTGGGTTTTCTCCGGGTCCTCCAGTTTCCTCCCACTACTAAAGACCCCTACGCACAAGCGAATTATGTAAATAAAATTAAACCGTATGTTAGTCCCGAAATGACCTAGTTTGTGTCGAGTTGACGTTAAACCCCATTTCTCTCTCTCTCTCAATTTTATTTCAATATAGATGTGTATTTTAATCAGATTGTATGTTGACACTGTATTTGGATCTACGAGTAGAAATGATTCTACTTACAAGTGTCTCATTCTCTGTTTTTATTACAGTTAATCTTCTTTCTAATCTTTGTAACTGTGTCTGGAGTTCTGTGATCTTCTTCTGTAATGTTCTTTCTTTTTCTCTTTCATCTCGTTTTGTCTGAAAATAGAAAGGAAATTAAATGTAGGCATCTTGAAAATGCAACAAAATTAAATGAGGTTTTTAAATGGCGTGCTTTTCTACATCAACTGGACTAAATGAAAACGGTCATATGTCATACAGAGTGTTATGGGGGAAATTTGGTACGGAACAATGGGTGCTACAGCATACTTTTATTCCATTCTCAACACTCAAGTAATCTTTAACATGCTATTAATGGTATAGAACCCCAGTCTTTATTTCCATCCTGCATCACAGCCAAGGAATCGTTAGCATGCTGCTATTGGTATAGAAATGACCCCAGTTTTCCTTTTCAGACTCTCCATCCTGCATCACAGACGAGGGGAAGTCTGGTTGAAAATTCCTGAGAAACTTTCTAGGCCACCCCTTGGACCCCCTCCCCCCAATTTACATAGTAGGCCCAAACTCCTATTTATTTACAACAATTATTAGGATTAGTTAAGACTGTATCTGTATAAAACCTGTACATATCCCAATATGGTTTACATTGTTAAAATAAAACACAGAGAGAATCATCCTGGAAACATGTGTGAAGTGAAACGTAATTGTGTTCCATAAAATTGTGTCTAGTTAGCCTGTCAGTGTCAGTAATATTTTGTTAATTTTTTTCTGCCACTTATCAGAGTGAATTGCATGTAGGTACCCAAAAACATTATCACCTAAACCAAATATTTATCGCCCGCTCAGCAAGCAACGTAACCATAATGCTTTGCACGTGGTGTCTTGGTAGACAGCATGGCCACTTTGTGTTTGTTTATATTTTTTAGGGGTTTTAAAAATGGGTTAGGGTTAGGGGTTAGGGTTGCAGACCCCCCCAATATATATTTCACCGCAGGACAAGGAGAAAACCCTACTTCTTGTCACGTACAACCGGGGATTCAATACCACGCCAGTTGACTCAAGGACAGACCTTATGATACAGCGCGCACGTGCTAACCATTCGGCCATACAAGTGTGCCGCGAGATCTTCCTAAGTGTGCCACGAAATTTTGAACGGCACACTAAGAAAATGTGAAAAAACATGTGATCCCAATTGAATATTCACGGATGTCTACTGATAAGTTCAGAGCTGTGTTTTTCTTTATTTAATTTGAGTCATTCCATGTTTCTATGACTAGTCTCTGTCTACGATTGCGTTTCGTCTGACTTACTATGTTTCTATTTTGCAAAATTCAAATATTTTTCATATATATTTAGCCAGGTGTGCCGCTATTTTCTCACGTGTTCCAGAGAGAGAGAGAGAAATGGGGTTTAACGTGCACTCAACACAAACTAGGTCATTTCGGGACTAACACATGGTTCAATTTTATTTCAATAATTTCCATGCGCGTAGGAGTCTTTAGCAGTGGGGGGAAACCGGAGGACCCGGAGAAAACCCACGAGGTTGGACAGGCCAAAGAAGGTTGAGAACCACTGATCTAGATGCTATCAAATGATTCATAATTAAAAAATGTTTTATCATTATTATTATTTTTATTACAATCTACAGCCTGTGACTAATGTTACTGACATATCAAACCTATATTTTTATTTACCCAATTAAATTATAATAAATTACAAATTGCCTTGAGCGTATTACTACAGCCGTAACATGCCAATTTTTTTTTAAATAATTTTATAATTAAAGTAGTAATACGGTTATGAATTAATTGACAAACACAAACCATGTCCTGTGTTTGTGTGATATTAAAACATACTAAATTATGATCAAATAACACACTATTTACAGATAACAATTACTATGGTTTATTTCACTGCCACCACGTTTCGACAAGATTTCACAAGTCGTTATCAAGCAAATAGACGACTTGTGAAATCTTGTTGAAACGTTGTGGAAGTGAAATAAACCATAGTAATTGTTATCCATAAATAGTGTGTTATTTGATTATGTTCCAATTATTAAATGCCATTTAAAGGGACAATAACACTCTTGCTGGCTTGACAGCTCCAGAAAATAAAAAATAGCCTTATTTTAAGTACTAGATGTGTTAGTGTCCTACCTGTTGTGTAAATTATCCATTAAATCCTATTTTACTTGTCCAGAGGGTTCAAAAATATTTTTAAATCCAAGTCACATTTGAAAAGCTTTACGTCAGGCTTTTTCCAATTTTTTAAATTAGGTGTGTTAAGATGAAATTTGTATCATCAATTAATTGGAATATTGTAAAATAGTGCAATTTGTTGACCAGAATAAAGATTGGGACATATTATTCAGTTACAACAAGAGTGGTATTGAGCATTTAAAGAATATACTAAATTATGGTCATTTGGTCATTTGTTTTGTCAACGGGTTAGTACTCATAGTAGTAACTTGGTGCTTTAACGTCTGCTTCCACAGAAGTGATATCGCGGGCAGTTTTGTCTTATCGGTTATGTTTTTAAAAGGGGAGAAATGGGGTTTAAGGTCAACTCACCAAAAACTAGGTCATTTCGGGACTAACATTTGGTTCATTTTTATTTCAATAATTTGCTTGCGCGTAGGGGTCTTTTAGCAGTGGGAGGAAAACCCAAGAGGTTGACAGACGACCCTACTTCTTGTCAAGTACAACCAAGGCACTTGACTCGACAGACCTTATAATACAACGCACGCACACACTAACCATTCGGCCAAACCCCCTCAGTTTTGTTTTACATGTGGTTCTCCTGCACTTACAATAGAATATGACAAAATCTCCACATTTCACTAATACAACTTTCAAAACAACTTTATAGAGCTGTAAACAATGGGTACTATTCAAAAACGTTACTGGTACCAGAAGCCTTAACTGTTAGCGAGAGAGTGAAGTGGAGTTTAACGTCCACATGACACAAACTAGGTCATTTCAGGACTAACATGGTTTATTTTTATTTCCATAATTCACTTGCGCGTAGGGGTCTTTAGCAGTGGGAGAAAACCGGAGGACAAGGAGAAAACCCACGAGGTTGGACAGGCGACCCTACTCCTTGTCACGTACAACCAGGGAATCGAAACCACGTCAGTTGTCTCAATGACAGACCATTCGGCCATCCAATCCCACAATATAGATATTCAAGATTTATCATGATAAAAGAATGATTAATAACAACTATTTAAACTCCAGACTACACTTCAAAGAAATATCCAGAATATTAAAATCAACAATTTCATGGTTGAATAGTAAAATAGTTTCTCTGACTCACAACCAAATGGGAAAGTATTCGATCAATGAAATAATATAGCATGTGTCAAGACAGCTCATTGCATGACAATTATAGCCGCAATCGTCTGTGTCATTACAGGTTAATGAGTACACTTATTGATAAAGCCTTATAAAGCAAGGATGATAGGGGATGGGACTTCCTTCTGGAGATAATGCATTCCAATAAAGATATGAAATGAAGTGGGGTTTAACCTCCTACTATTCCAATGAAGATATGAAATGAGAGAGAGAGAGAGGGTGTCTTTAACATCCACTCGACACAAACTAGGTTATTTCGGGTTCAATTTTATTTCAATAATTCGCTTGCTCACAGGGGTCTTTAGCAGTGGGAGGAAACCGGAGCAGCCAAAGAAAACCCACGAGGTTGGACAGGGGAGGCTACTCCAAGATATGAAATGAAATGGGATTTAACTTCCTACTTTTCTGTAACAACTGGGCTAATGAAGATGGTGATATGCTATACAGTGTGCTATGAGGGAAATTTTACCCTACACTTACATCAAATTCCCGCTGTCAAGGGTTATTTTACGTGCACACCAATGTGTACATGGGACCCTGATTTTTCATTCAATCAGAATGACTATACGCTGACCCTTGCTAGGCCCTCTAGTCTTGCAGATAAGAGAGAGGTCATTTCGGGACTAACACATGGTTAAATTTTATTTCCATAAATCCCTTGCGCGTAGGTTGGACAGACGACCCTACTCCTTGTCACATACAACCAGGGAATCGAAACCATGCCAGTTGACTCAATGACAGACTTTATGATACAGCGCGCACATGCTAACCATTCAGCCATCCAACCCCCAAAATCCTGATGAACTGTCCCTTATAAAAGGATGATATGGGATGGATGGGACTTACTTCCACTATTCACTAATAAGTATCATAAAACTTAAAGTCCTGATGCACCATTTTAGTGATATAGGAGAGAGAGAGAGAGAGGGTTTGACATCAACTTGACACAAACTAGGTCATTTCGGGACTAACACATGGTTCAATTTTATTTCAATAAATTGCTTGCGCATTGGGGTCTTTAGCAGTAGGAGGAAACCGGAGAATGGAAATGAAATGAAATGGGGTTTAACGTCCTACTGTTCTGCTCCTATACTGGGCTAATGAAGACGGGCATACGCCATACAGTGTGCTTTGAGGGAAATTTTGCCCGAGCAGCGGCACTATCGCCTACTCTTATATCGAATTCCAATTGCCAGGGGATCTTTTATGTGCATTCCAATATATACATGGAACCTTGGTTTTTCGTCTCATCCGAAGGACGGGACAGCTGTCCTTGTTTGGCCCCGCGTCCTGCAAGACTGACAAGGGGAAACCACGTCGGAAAATCCTGATGAACTTTCTCGGCCAATGCAGGGATCAAACACGTGATCTCCAGGCTAGCGAGCCAGCATCTTAACCAACTAGCCTCCGTGGCTCCCCGGGGAATGGAAACTCAATGACAGACCGTATGATACAGAGCGCACATGCTAACCATTCGGCCATCCAACCCCCCTTAGAGATATAGGAATCACTTGTATCTTACAATTATAATGTAAAAGTTGAATCTCTAAAAGTAATATCAGTCCATTAAATTGTTCAATTTCCTTCAGGATTTACACAGATACGTTGAAATGAAAATTCAAAGACCAGCCCACCCCTAGCTCTAATAGAAGACATAGATTATCTCTGGTCACGTTGGTAATGAAATGGGGTTTAACGTCTTATGAATGACAGCCATACACTAAGTGAGTTTGTGTATTGAGGTAAAGTTTACCACGACTGAAGAGCTACAATTTAACTTTT